ATTCAGTGTCGTAGTGCTATAGTACAACACTATCACAGCAATAACGATAATAATACAAACGGCCGGGATTGTTGACGTTCATACGCAAACCCATAACGCATATTCTCGCGATTGCGTTTTTATTTTGTTTATTGTTTTTCTTTTTCATTTTCGCAAAATACGGAAAGAATCGCTCACTATGACCAGTAAAACTCTTTCTCAAATGAACTATCGGGAATTATTGCGCGAATACGCTTATAGGCAATTAAACGGCCCCACGTCAAAAAGCGATATGCTGGCAGTCTTTGAGAATAGTTTACGCAGTGAGAAGCTAGACCCATCGAACTCGATCCTGCCCGAATGTCCGCCGCTTCATTACGAGACGCTCGCGACGGAACGCGAGTCTCAAGTAGGCGAAGTCCCCGTGCTACTTCGGACCGTCGACCCACCTACCCACAAAAGATAATCATAAAATAAGTGTCATTATCCAGACATATGAAATCATCTTCACCCATTTTGCTATTTCAGAGTTCATACCCGGCCAACAATAGTGGGCGCTGATTAAGCGTTGCGTCGCTTTGCGACCGCCATGCGCCAAACAATGGAGCGCTTCGAAAACAGATCTACGGTGCTTGGCGGGCACGTACGTACGAGGCATACCTGTTGAAACCGTCCACAAATATTTTTCCGTAGTGTCCCAGGTTTGAATTTGCATGGAGGACTTGACGTTACCGGACAAGGTACGTTTTAGTTGCTCGTCGCTGGTCTGATCCGCCGCCCATTGTTGTACGTCAGGTAGGCTGTTTTGAATGGGCGACATTTCCAAACATGACAATGCGTCTGGGACGGTGTTGCATGAACAACTGACATGACCGACGGCGCTAACTAATTGGGACAAAAATGATATTTGTCGTACCTGGCGATCTATGTACTTCTCGGTTTTATGCGTGAACATTTGCAGTAGTGGTCTGTGATCCGTGCGCAAGGTTGTAAATCGGTCTTCTATTACATGGATGTAATGACGACAACCGAGAAAGGCAGCGAGCAATTCGCGATCATTTGTGCTGTAAAGCGGCCCTCACACGATCAATATTACTGACAGTATTTGACATTACTGTCAGTGTACTCCTCAAACGGTCAGTATAAATTAGTGTCAATACATCAGTACTGATCTGTATTTACATTGTTCGGGTGTTCGTTTGGTCAATTTTATTAAAATGTACGAAAATCGTCGTAAAGCGTGCATAGCAATTATTTTAGCGTTTTCTATTCCAAGTAAACGGATAACTAATAGGAAGCGATGGGTAAAAGAATGGATTAGCAAACGTAAGAAGTATTGTCATTTAAATCTGTTAAAAGAAATCCAGCTTTCCGACCCAAAAGACTACCAGAATTATTTTCGAATGAACAGTAACATCTATAATAAATTACTAAGCATGGTAGAACCACTTATTATTAAGAAAAATACTAATATGAGGGAAAGTATTCCTCCAAATCAAAGACTGGCTTTTCTTTTTTACATCATCTATAGCAGCATCAGGCTTAATTAACTTATAAACAACTAATAATTCACTATAAGCATCTTTTTTTTTTGTCTCTATTACTATAGTCTTTGCAACGAATATCCCATAAATATTTTAAATCTTTATACTTGGAAACAAAATCACGTAATTGTTGTTCACGGCATTCGCGCGCGTTTGGAAATTCATCACGTGTGTCATCCATTGCTGCGATGTCAATACTGACGAAATGTCAATATCGACCTCACACTATCAATATAATCATCAGTAACCAAATACTGACGACTCGATATCCGAATTTTTCATCAGTCATCAGTATCGTTTTATCATACTGACAGTACATCAGTACTCACATCACACGATCAATAATACTGTCATTATCCAAAATACTGTCAGTAATATTGATCGTGTGAGGGCCGCTTAAATGTTTTTTTCATATTAATTTTTGTAATCTGGATTGAGTATTAAGTGTTATTAATAAGATATGCTTAAGAAATACTTTGATGATTATAATTGAATAATAATAATAAATTTAAATTGATCATTTAATTTTTTCTGTAAATTAATATGATTGAATAGTTTTTCTAAAAAAAATAAATTAAATTTTTTAAAAAGTTGATTTATTGATTTTTTGTTACATACTAGATTAAAGAACTTTCATTATTGGGTGGAGGTAATGTAAGAAAAATATTAAAACTGTGGCGGTCGAATGTTCTAGAGAGTTCCGCCGCCGCCTCTAGAAGATTCCTCTGACTATTTAAGGGCAAGATCGTCGCTCCAGTCATTCAATCGATCAGTCAATCACTTACGCATTCTGTCTTAAACGCGCTTCGTCTCTCGCTGTTATTTGTTAGTTCGTTGTAATATAGTATAGTTGTTATTAAATCGTAAAAGTGTTTATTACTTCTATATATTACACCGCGCTACATTGGTGACCTCGACGATAACAAGTATGAACGCCGAAGAACTACGCAATCAATTGGAGGAGTTACGCCAATAAAACGCTCGCCTTGCAGCACTACAGGCACAGCAATATCCAACAGCTTCTGTGAATCGCGTTGCCGTCAAGTTGCCACCTTTCTGGTCCGAAAGACCGAGCTTATGGTTCTCACAGGTTGACTCGCAGTTTGCAATCTCGGGAATAACAAGTGAGGAAACAAAATTTAATTATGTTGTGGCTCAGCTTGATACGCGTTACGCCGCCGAAGTAGAGGATATTATTACTAACCCACCGCCTANTCTCCAGAACATATATAATAAACAAAAATGTAAAAGGATTTTGTAGAAATAAAAAATAAAACAAAAATTAACCCAAGAAGTAATAATTTTTTAGTATTATTATTTTTTATTTTTTTTTCTTCTTAACATAATTTTGCTAAACTAATTTCAGAATTTGAATTTGAATCTGAATCCATCTCCAGAGAAGGGTCTAAAAAGAGTTTAAATGTATTAAAAGATAAAATAATACTTAAAAAATAAAAAATAACTGTCGTCAAATAAGACATTTTTTAATTGAACATTTTTTAAAATTTCACAATAATTCTTGAAAAAATGAGTGCTTTTAATTAAAATTAAAACTTTTTTTCAGTGTTTAATTATTTTCTATAAAGAGAAAAATTGTTTTGTTCAAAATAAAACTCTAATTAAGAATGTAGTTAAATTTGTTTATATAATAAAAAAATATTACAATTTTGTTCTTAAAATTTTTTTTATTCAAACAACCATTAATCTGTTACAATAAGTTTAAGTTAAGTGATTTTAAATCAAAATTTTATTATTTCACTGTTAAGAAAACAGACTACTGTATTTGAAACATAAAATAATAGAATATTTGTCAATAATAACTAAACTTTATCATGATGTAACAGATATACAGGTGATTCATTTATCATGGCTCACTTAATTAATCAAAAAATAAAAATAATTTTTTTATTGATTCTTTTATTTGGTTCTAAATTCTTGGTTCTATGTGTTTCTAAATTTTTCAATTATAAAATATTTTTAATTTTCATCTAATATTTTATAAAGCTGTCAACTTGAATTTTTTCAAATGAAACATGTGTAATTAACTAGCGCTAAACTAGTAAGTTAATTTTATTTTTGTGAAATTATGCAAAATTATAAAATAGAGAAAATTACTACATAGTTATACTACAATCGTATGATACTCAAAATTTATTATACAAAAAATATATTGTTATACATTTTTGTTTAGAATTACGTTTAAAATATAGCTCAGTTATGGCTTGTCTATCATTTTATGCTCTTCGTGTATAAAGTTCCCTAAAATTGGGACTGTAAATTGTAACATTTTTAACTGTGTATGTCAATTCAGGAGCTTCAATAAATGGTTTAGAATGAGTTTATTTCAATAAATTTGGATTACAAAAAGAACTGGGCACCATGGTAACTTCTAGATTAATTAAACAGAGAAATGTGAAATATTATTGTCCTTAGTCCTTCATTAGAACATTAAAATAAAATAAATGAATTTAGAAAAATTAAAATATATATGTAATACTTTGGAGTGGGTAATTCTTTATACTTCTAAAGGGAAAGATTATTTTAATAAAAAGAATATTATTACATTATTATCTTCAATTTTACCATAAAATGTTTATTTATTCTATTTTTTTCTTTTTTTTAGTTAAATATATTATATAGATTATTTAATATTAGACATTTTACCTATTTTCAACATTTTAACTGAACAAAATATTTTTAAACAACTAAATTTATATTATGTTTACTTTAATTTAAAATTTGTTTTAGGGTGTTACTTGTGCCGTATGAAGGGCCATACCACAAAGCAATGTCCTCACAAAAGTAATACTTTTATATTTATTTTTGTAACAATTCAATAAACTTGTTATACAGAGTGATTCGTTTATCGTGTCTACTTAATTATTCAAAAAATAAGAATAATTTTTTCATTGATTTCTTTTACAACAAAATGAATAGAAAACTATTGGCTCGCAAGCCGCCATAGAGCTTATAGCTAAAAAAACACTTAGTTGGTGGCGTCAATGCAGACATAAAGAGAAGACCGACAACAACTCGGTGTAGCACAACGATAACATAAGTAATCACAGTATACAATTTCTCGACAGCACATTCGACCGATGTGTATCCAACACCCTTATAGTCCACTAGGGCAGCTATTCCACTTCAAAAAAGGATAGTCGATATGTAGATGATGTTCTTCATGTCAATTGACAGTAATAAGTAATTAAAAAACTAATAAATGTTTGGTGAACTGGGATTCTATAACCAGTCGGATATAAACAATGTCGGATTTCGCAGTAAACATAATAAGCTAGTGCTTAAGATTGCAATTTTTAGGAACGGCAAACTCTCAATGTTGAATTATTCATACTATACTTATACATACTAATTGTATTTTCCTTAATCATAAAAAATACTTATACATAAAAATATACTACATTTTTAAAGAAGCTAATTCAATAAATGTCGGGGCTTAGTGTTGGATAGTAACTTAGTTTAGTAACTCAGTTGTGAGATTTCAATTGATGCAATTAGTACTTGTTGAGACGATGCGACACTTGCCCCACTTGGTCCGAGTTTCATTTTCTTTAGGCTTTTACATTTTCTTTCAAAAAATTCGGGAGGTCGGTCTTTGAGAGTAGGATGAACTTTATGCAAATGCCGCTGAAGCTTTGCTTGTTTCAAAGCATCATTACTAAGTACAACAGTACATATCACACACTGAGATCTTATTTCTCGATTTATTTCAATTTCAGTGAATCCATATTTAATATAACTACTATCATATTGCCTCTTTTTCGACATATTCCTGAAAAAATCCAACTAGGTTCCGAGAAAAAAAATTACTTAATAAAACCAAACTATACATTTTTATTTTCTTTAAAAACGTACTGCGTGGTAATCAAACGAATAACGATCGCATACTGAATCAATATCAATCGGTACTCATAAAGTATTAAATTTATACTATAAATATATAAGCAACGATGTTTGTAATTGACATAATTATTATCGGTCGCGATAATATTATTTATAAATCTGATATCTACACACTTATGAAAAATACTATTATACGGTTCCTGAATAAGCCGTAATTTTTTTTCAATAATTAAAAAAAAAATATTAATTTCTAATAAAAATCGAAGAAAAAATCTATGGGATCGCGGACCACCGGTTGGGAAACACTGATCTAAGCATTCTCATCTCTGTTACACTCATTCTCTGCTCGACTTTCTTGTCAACTACCCAACACTTTGTACCATACATCATAGGTGCACTTATTACAGTCTTATAAAACTCACCTTTCAGCATGACAAAATAGATAGGTATGTCAGCAACAAACGAGTTTTGGACCGTTTGACGCATCCCGCCCTTCTCACCCATAGTAGTGGTTCGCCTGATTTCATTGGCCGTAGGTTTGCCCGCCAAAATACAATTCTTTAAATCAAATACTTGACAGCAACTTTAATATTTTGTATTTTTTTTTTATGATACCTTTACCTTTTACTATTATTGATTGATATCAATCTATTGTGATATCTATTTATACTACAATATAAACAAATATGATCAATTTGCAAATTATTTGATATGAAATGATTATGCCGGGTATATTAAATAAAATGAACAGCGTTTATTTTAAGTCTTAAAATATTTTGAAAACTTGATACACTTACATACTTTTACTTAAATTTAAAAAACAAAAATTTACTTAATAAATAAATGTATGTAATAAGTAAAATTAAATTACCAAATAACATTAGGCCAGTTCGCATTAGGATACTGTGCTGACAAATCAACCTCTTGGCTTTATAAAAAAAAAAATAACATTAATGTGAAGCAAATTATATATCATTTAATGCAATGAAAGCACTTCTAAATATTAAGTATATTACATACATAATTTTTCATTATTCCTCTATATGCTACAAATTATTTTTGCACAATATTAAATATTAACGCATAAATGATAATAATATCACTATATTTATGGAAAATGACCATACAAATATTCGGCCAATGAAATGAGGCGAACCAGCTATAGATGGGGTGAAGAGTATCACAAAGAGGTTGCGTATCACAAAGTTGCTGACATACCTATCTATTTTGTCATGCCTTTCAGCCGTTTGTGCGGTGTTCCACTGCCGCCTCGTCATATGCGATGTTCCACAACAGACTCCCGAGAACCGATCCCTGCAGGACGCCGTCCGTTACGGTTCTAATTCTCGTTCCTAGCGAAGACACGTTCCTAAAGTACAACTGGATCATCCGGCTGATGTACGGAGGCACCCCAAATGCGTCCAGCTCTCCTAGGATGTGTGACCATCGCACTGAGTTGAAAGCGTTTCGGATGTCTAGGCTCATTGCCACCCCGAAGCCCTACCAGTTCTCAGCCCTAAGGGTTAAGTCCTTAAAAGGGAAAGCCGCGTCGTCCACTATAATTTATTAAAATCAAAATAGAATTTTAATATAAAAATATCAATATACAGGTTGTTATATGTTAATTTCTAAAATTGTTCTAACACACCTTTTCTTATAATTACGGTGCTAATGGCAGTTATTCTGTGACATTTGCATCTTTGTTATTATACTAAGGCCTCAATGTAGCAATCCTCGTACATGACAACGTGATCAAATAAATTAATGGTAGCATTAGTTTATAACTCAAAATCCATTCTTTAATACGATAATATTTGGATCAATCTTTCAATTTATACTTTTTTTTTCAATTGAAAATAAAACAATGCAAGATATCTTTTTGATTTTTGGATTAGTTTTTAGTTTATTCAATACTTTATTATTACACAAAAAGTTTTTTTTTATAAAATAATACAATAATAAAATTAAGATAGCTGTTATATTTTCTTGGGATACACATTTTAATTCCTATTACTCTTATTGTTATTTGCAATATACTAAATGAAATAAAAAAAACGAAATGTATAAGCTGTTAATGTACTGTAAATAGTCAAGGATAATTAAAATAATATTTATAATTTTCTTTTTTTTTCTTGGCTATATTTTAGTGAAATTTAAATTAATTTTTTTTTTGTTCTTAAAAAAAATAACGAAAATATGCTTTTAAACTTTTTCCAAAAACTTCTAATTATTTTTTATTTAATAACATTCCTATGTACACAGAACATTTTTGAAGTGGATGAATTTCAAGGGCGACAATTGATTTAAAATTAGCTATCGAACTTTTTATATATCAAGTTATTAGTATATGTGTCATTTTTTTCCTGACATTACACTTTAAAGACAGTATAATCTTACTAGAATATATTATTAAAACTAATACTTACTAATTAATAAGTTTAAAATGTGTAAATTATAAGCAAAATTAACTTTACCAAAGATTTTGATTTATTCTATTAAAATTTGTTATTAAGTATAAAAATATTTTTAAATTTTCGAAATTTTATAAAAAATAATAAATAATAGTGATAATTTAATATTATTAAGTTGGCTATACGGGAATGTTACAATAGTAGGAATCGTCTCTATGGTAAAAAAAAAAAACATATCTTTAGCAACATACAATGTATTATATTTTTATAGTTATATTATTATTTTCAATATATTTTTAAAAGAGTAGTGTAGTGAATTTTGTTTTACAAATTTTCCTTTAAAAATTAAACGACTAAAGAACATAATAAAAGTGATAAAAGTTTGATGACATTAGTATTACAATATTGTCTTTGCTATTAAACATCAATGATTTTTAAAATATAATTACTGGCTAAACGTTAATGTTATAATAGTAAAGTATTCTTGATTATTCAAAGTTACAATTACCAAGGAAACAAATTACTTTTAATACACATTGCAATTTTCTTAGTAAATTGAAGTTATTTAATACTTTTTAATAAAAATAATTTTCTTTCTTTTTGTGTATAAGGATTAATTAATTATATTAGCAAGTATTCAATATTTCATGAAATGTACATTAAATTATATATAGTGATGCCCTTTTTTTTTAATATAATCCAATACAATTTTCAATAGTTATTAAATGCAGTACGATAAAGATTGTTTGCTGTTGAACACTCAGAATTAATCCAGTCGTAAGTACATTTATTAAAATATTATTTTAAAATATATAAAATTTCAATAAATTACCAACAATATAGATATTATTCAAGGTATATTTACTTTATAATAATTAAACATTATCCAGAAAAAAAGTCATTAAAGAAATATAACACTTTATTTATGTAAAATTAGTTTAATTTAATTTAAAGTTATTATTAAAAAAAAAATTGGAAATATATTCAACGAGGTTCAATTAATTTTTTTCATTTTAGTAATATTTGAATAAAGGAGTTTGGACATTAATTTTTTTTTCCAAAAATATTTTATAAAATTGATAAATTAACTCTCAGATTTAACGTTAGCCATTCTATTTCACTTGGAAAAATTATTGACTCAACTTTTAGCTTTTATTTATTATATACATATATTTCTTTAATTATCTATAGCTATAATTTTTTTTAATAAACTTTTAATAATAATAAATTTGGTTTTTATACTATAATAATCCTTTTAATAATACTTAATTTAATTCAATTATAATTTAGAAAAGTTGTAAGAAATATTATATCAAAATTAAGGCTGGAATGATGTCTAATTATTAAATTTGGCTCATATAATTAACCAAGATGTATTGTTATTATTCTATATTTATTGTATTCTAGAATTATTAGCTATGTAATAATTTTTAAGTCCATCCCTTATGCTTTGTATGGGTGTAAACATTATTTTTTCGATTGAGAACACATATTTTGAATTAATTTAAATGAAGTATTGTTTTAATATTAAATGGTATTTAAATTTTTAACATAACTTTATTCGTTTATTAAATATAAAAAGTTAAATTGTTGAGTTAATATAGATGTATAATCCATTTTCTTTTAATTTTATATTTGTCTAATGATAAAAATGTTACTAAAAAAGAAAGAAAAAGCGATAGACTATTGATGATCGAAACCAATATTTACAATATTGTCTTTGCTATCAAATTACAATAATTTTTATAATATATTTACTGATTAATCATTATTATAATAGTAAAGTATTCTTGATTATTTAAAGTTACAATTATCATGGAAACAAATAACTTTTAATACAATTCGATATTTTCTTAGTCAATTTAGAAAATTTGAATTTTTTAGTACTTTTTAATAAAAATAATTTTGTTCTTCTCTTTTATATTATAAATTACTAATCATATTTGCAAGTATTTAATATTTCATGGAATATACGATAAATTATAAACGGTGTTGCAATTTGCATTGTAATGACTTACAACAGTGGTTTTAATCACAGTTAAATCTAAATCTAAACAGATTTTCCATTATGACGGAACTTTTCTATTGACATATCTAGAATAAAATTTCAGTAAGTGTTATTTTTATTTAAGAACACATTGTATTCTACATTTTCTGTGAGGTCGATATCACATTGTTTATAGTTGATTATACAACTAGCTGTATTTAATTTTATTTTGGAATATACTTCACTTCAGCTTAAACTACATTATACTTTCTATCCCCCCTAAAAATATATCTAATACACATATTATTATAAACGAGATTTCATATCTTAAATAAATAAAAATGATGTGCATTAATTGATGGGAAATTTTATTTGACTATATGAACTTTAAACAAAAAAGTTGGTTCTTTCATTAATGATACCTCTTTTTTATCATAACCTATATATATATTGTTTGATCAACTGGCTTGTTTCCTTAATTACTGAATACTGTATATATATATTTACATATATATGAATATAATTTTGAGAACTGCTTATAAAAGTCATATTGATATATGAAAGTTTGTTTTCATTTATGTTACACTTTCAAAACAAATGATGACTTTAATCTTATAATATAGAAATAGCGGGCTGTACATAATTTGATATATCGAGACAGTTATGTCACTAGTACGCGCTATAAATTTGCAAATATAATAAATATAGTTTAAAAAAACTAAAAAAACACGCTTTTAAAGCACATCGAACTAAAAAGTTAAAAATAATTTTTAAACTTATTTTGTGAAAAAAAGCGTGGGTGCTTTATGCCATATTTTTTGTATATTGAGCGCCTGACGCTTTTTTTCACAATAATACTAGTATTTTTCGATCACCATTGTTTTAAGTTAATTTTAAAAATTATTTTTAACTTTTTAGTTCGATGTGCTTTAAAAGCGTGTTTTTTTAGTTTTTTTAAACTATATTTATTTTTCACTTTTTAGTTTTATGTTATGATAGTAGTTACTATCAATATCATGGTTGTAACGAGAAATCAGGGTTCGATTCCGGGGAGGGAGTCTGAGAAACGGCTCCCACATCCAAGGAAAGCAGCAGGCGCGTAAATTACTCACTCCCGGAACGTGGAGGTAGTGACGAAAAATGACGATACGGAAATCATCCCTCGTAATCGGAATGAATACTTAATTAATTTATATCTTAATTAAAATAAAGCGTGTTAATAAATAAATTTTAATAGTAATTAGAATATATATATATACATATACAGAGTGTTCAGTAAGTCAGGAAACGGGTTTTTATTGTTATCATTGTTACAAACAATGAGAACAATAGAAACCCGTTTCCTGACTTACTGAACACCCTGTATATATACAAGTAAAGCGACTGAAGTACGTAAACGTATCATGCACTAGGTATAACCGTATTTTATGGGCGGGCGGGTCGGACTAACGTTATACCTGAGGTATAAACGGTGGTAGGAATATTTAAATATTTATACGTAAGGCCCGTTTCACACTAGCGCGTATACGATATTCTCATACGCCGCGTTTTAAAACGCGCGGCGTTTTTTTTTTTTGTTTCACACTACCGCGTTTTTGCTATAGCGTTTTCTATTTATTTTCAAAATGAATGTCCAACAGACAAGATGCATGTTGGCTTTTGCGGCCTACAGGCACATTTTAAAAAAGAATACTTCAAAAATAAAAAAAAATAGGCGATTTTGGGTTCACCCGATGCTGCTTCAAAGACATCTTAGAGGCGCTTTTGCAACCCTTTTTTCTGAATTAAGAGACCACGAGGAGAAATTCTTTAATTATTTCAGAATGTCGATAAAATCGTTTGATGAACTACTTTCAAAGTTAGAAAAGGGGCTAACCGTAAATAGTAACTTTCGCGTACCTATTTCACCGACAGAAAGGCTGTGCATAACATTAAGGTAAGTAATAAATATTACTTAAAATAAATTATTTAAGGGGCTAATTTTATAATAACTACATAATAATTATCAATCTAATGACGGGAATAGATGTTTTTTCTATAGGAAAATATTAAGGGTTTAATAAAAGTAATTTTTAGTAATTTTTTATACTTAAAAAAAAAATTAATTAAATTGAAAATTCATATTTTGAGATTTTTATTATTAACACACGATATCTTACCCACTTAACGGTATTTGTAATTACTCAAAAATCATACTAACTTTTTTTGAATAAATACTGACGTAATATTTTAATTAGTTCGTATTTATAGATACTTAGCATCGGGTAATTCATTCACAGACCTTCATTACTCCTATAGAATGGGAATATCTACTATTAGTAAAATAGTAGAAGATGTATGCAGCGAATTATGGGGACTTAAATCTGAAATTATGGCTTTGCCGGATCAGCAAAAGTGGAAAGAAATTGCTTTGGGTTTTGAAAACGATGCTAACTTTGTAAATTGCATCGGCGCTTTGGACGGAAAACATATTCGCTTAATCAAACCAATCCAGAGTGGATCAGATTTTTATAATTACAAACATTACTATTCAATAGTTCTTATGGCTATTTGTGATGCAAATTATTGTTTTACTTTTATTGATGTGGGAGCTCAAGGAAAGTTTTGTGATTCAACAGTCTTTAAAAAAACAAAATTTTACAAAAAACTAGAAGATAAAGAACTTTTTGTACCACCACCGAAACCCTTACCTTGCCAATCAAATCCATTACCGTTTGTAATAGTTGCTGATGAGGCTTTTGGTGTATCTCAAAGCATACTTAGACCATATGCACGAAGCAATTTGAATTACAAAAAAAAAGTATTCAACTATCGCTTGTCTCGAGCAAGAAGATATATAGAATCAACTTTTGGAATACTTTCTAACAAATGGCGAATTTTCCATAGATCGATGAACACAAGCGTAGAACTTTCTATAAAAATTGTTAAAGCCTGTTGTATATTGCATAATTTTGTCAGGAACAGAGATGGATTTAGATTTGAAGACACATTAAGTATTAATGGTTTTGAAAGTCTTAATGACTCAATTGATGTTTATAATAGATCAGGTAATATATTAAGGGACCAGTTTGCCAATTACTTTATAAGCGAAGCTGGTAAAGTAGAATGGCAAGATAGAATGATTCATTAATTCAATATAAGTAATGTGCTCAATAAGTTTATGTTAAATGTCTTCTTAGTACTACTAGTAATGGTCTTTGATTTTTATTCTTTTGGTAAAAAGTTTTTGCCACAAGAATTATTTTTACTAAAAAATAACATTTTTGTATAATTAACATTTATTAAAATTGTTCTTAGTATAAACATACAAATAAAAAATTTTAAAAGTAATATTTTATATATTTTTATGCTATTGATTGTTGGGGAACCTTCCATTTTTCATATGTTTAACACTGGAAACGAACAAAATAACTAAAAAAATAAAAATTATAAAAAATAACAAGAATAACGAAAATAACTTTTCACTGATTAATGCCCTGTTTTATTTATTCAGCATTTAACTTATAAGTTAAAAATCAAATAAAAAATTTGATAAATAAAAACAATAATTTTTTTAAACACAATTGTGTTTAATTTATTTCATTTGTTGATTGGTGGCTTGATTGAGGTGGCTATTGGCCTCCTTCTGCTGGAGTTCCTAACGACTGGTAACTTTGATAGCTATTTACTTCAGGAGGAGTAGAAGAAGACGTAGAGAGAATAGATGACGTGTTATGATTCCATGGACCATAGTTAACTGGATACTGTTGAGAAAAAAAGTCGTAAGGTTCTTTGTATGCAGCTCTTACATTACTTGTATTTTTAATTGTCATCATAAGGCTTAAGACTTGACTTCTAAATAATAGTTTTTGGTCATTATTAAATAACCGCAACGTTGGCAATAGAGATTCCATAAAAGAACGATCTTCATCTTCTTTCGAACTCTGCTCGAGTACTGATAAAAACTTTTCTTCGAAATCAGTATCATTCCATGTTCTTTTTCCCTGTTTAATTCCTTTATTGTCTTTTTTTCTTTTCCAGGGAACTTCTTCTGCTGCCTGCTCAACTTCTATTGTCTGATCTTCGAACACTGATGTACTGATATCGTGATCAGAAGATGAGTTATCCATGTTTGATTCAGTGCTACAAAAATATTATTCATGTTAAATATCATTATATATTAACAGTTGTTCTAAATACATTTTTTCCGCGTTTAGGGTGTTAATATGGACGTTTCACGTGAACTTATCTAATANTAAATACATTTTTTCCGCGTTTAGAGTGTTAATATGGACGTTTCACGTGAACTTATCTAATACGTGTGCAACCGTTGCTCAAAAAAAATAAAATATATTATCAATTGACTCATTATCAATTAAACTTTAAATTGTAAAAATAAATAAATTTCAAAATATACTCAACACATTTAGTTCAGCTTGCGATTCTAGAAACTGTAATTGACGATCATACACGTATTCCTTTTGCTTTTTCGCTCCACTCCCAGATTTTAGTTTTCTTTTGTTTGCAATTGACCGCATTTTTGCGTCCCTGACACTTTTCCACCTTTGCTGTACTTTGTCCACTGAACCATGATAATGGTAATTTTAAAATATATATATTTATTATTCAAAAACAAAAAAAAAACCCGCACAGTTAGAACTTCACATAGTTGATACAAGTATAGATTATATCTGACAGCAATTAAAATCACTATCATAAAAATCGTATCGATGCATATCTGTAGAGTTTAATTTTTAGAAGGAATTGTTGGGTTATACCAAAGCAACATTGGCTCCTAATTCCTTAATAATATCCTGATGACTAGTTTTATGATTTATAAGTATAATACGTGAATAAACAAATATTATAGAAATTAAAGTAGTATGAAATTGATATTCAATATTTTGTATTGTAATTTTTTAAGGTGATTAGATAAGGTGTCGGGACAATTTTTTTAAATTTAACTTGTAATGTGCATTGTAAGCTATAATTTAACATATGTTTGAAGCTTGGAGTATTTCCGGAACATTTTCAAAGGTAAGGTTGAAAAAGTTAACTTTTAATACAAAATTGTTATTTTGAATTTCTCCCTGTGGGCAGGTAAAGGGTCAAAAAATATACTTAATAAAAAGAAAATATCTAAGGTGTTTATTAAACAAAATGGTTTTTATTCATCCATTTTTAAAAAAGTTGATAAAAGTAAAAAAGTTTAAAAAATTTCGAATTTTACTGATTTTAAAAATCGTAATTTTTTGGAAATTTCTCCTATTTATGAGGAACGCTGAAATTTTTAAAAAA